GCCCGGCCCGGCCCCGCTCGGCTCCGCTCCGCCCGGCTGGGCTCGGCTCGGCTGGGCTCGGCTCGGCCCCGCGCGGTGCCGCTGCCGCAGAGAACAGCTGAGCCGAGCCGGGCGCCGGGGCCGGCACAGCCCCCCCGCGGCGGGCACCGGAGGGGAGGGGAGGGGGGGCCCGGCCCGGCCCCGCCTGCCCCCGCACCCTGCCCGGCCCCCCGCTCTGCCCGCGGGGTCGGGGGCAGCCCCGGCACGGCCGCCCCCCGCTCCCAGCCTAAAAGCGGGGGGGTCCCAAGGGTGCCCGCAGCCCCCCGGCGCCGCGCGTGGGAGCCCCTCGGGCTGGGAAGGGGAGGCAGGAGAAGCCCCCTGAGCCTTTCTGAAGTACTGGGAGAAACCAAGGGGCGGAGCATCACCCCGGGGGTCACTTCTGCACAGGGCTGTGACCCTGCGGTGGGTGCCCCCCCAGCCCGGGGCCAGCCCAGCCCCACGGGGACCGTGGCCATGGGCTGCCCCTGAGGCCCCAGCAGTCACGGGGGCATCCCACGGGTCCCCACCTCCCCCTGGAAAAAAGGGTCTGCAAGCCCACCTCAGCCCCAGCCCAGCAGGATGGTTACAGGCACAGCCAGAAATCAGATTTGGGATTTAGTGAAGCCCAGCCCTGCAGGGATGCCCTGGTCCAAGGGGATTAAGGGATTGTAGGGCTCAGGGACCGGAGGGAGGGGAGCGGTGGTTCCTGGAAAGGCAGCAAAGCCCTGGACCCTACAAGGGCACCATGTGGAGCTGGACGAGCATTGGCTGAGCGGGCAGGAGGGGGCAGCTGGCAAAAAGGCAGGGAAGAGGTGACATCCTTGTTTTCCCGGCCAAAGGGGTGGCAGGCAGGGAGGGGGCTGCAGAGGCACCCCTTGCTCGCCCTGTCCCACCACAGCCCTGGCTCACTCTGTGTCCTTAGCTCCAAGACACATCCCCAGCAAGTGAAGGAAAGGCTCTGGGAAGCCTTTCCCCAGCTGGTGCTGGGGGGAGGAGGAAGGGATGGGGGACCCCAGAGACACTGCCCGACCTGCAGTGACAGCCTTGCAGTGACAGCCCTGCTGCCCTGGCCCCACATCCTTGTGCCCACTCAGTTCTGGCCTGGCGAGAAGCTCCTGCTTGGATGGTGAGGCTGAGCCCAGGGAATTTGGCTTTCTCAAGTCCCTTGCTCACAGCAAGGCCACAGAGACCCTTGCACTGCCTTTCTTGCCACAATGGAGCAAGACCAAATCCAGAGACAGGTTGTCCAGTGTCCAGCTAAAACCCCACATCCCCCTTGGAGCTTAAACCCAGAACCCTCCTCACAGCTCCTGTGTCTGCAGCAGTGCAAGGAGGGCACCTGCAGCATCCTGACAGTTTTAAATACACAACCCCCGGAATCTCTGCAACTGCAGTGTGGTCTGGAAGTACTTCTTGCTTGGAAGCACGGCTCCATCACTTGGGACTGGACAGGACCACCCACGAGAGGGAACAACCCTGCTCTGGCTTTCCAGAGCACTGCCACCCCATGCTCTGAGAGCAGCACAGATCAATCCCTCACCCCCAGCCCCCATCCCAAATAGGAAGCCATACACCTTTGTCATCTTCAAAATAAAACTTTTATTCATTCGGTAACAAGAACATTGAATCTGCACATCAGTGCACAAGTTCACATTTAAAAACAGCTGAGCACATCGGTCATAAAGTCTTTAGGGGGAAAGGGGACGATCCCAGCCACCAAGGAAGATCCAGGAGGGGCAGACAGAAGCGCTCCCCTCCCTGATTCACAACCCCACCGCCAGCTGCTCGGCCCTGGACAATCCCTACAAACCAGCGCACGGACGTCACATCTCCAGAAAGGAAAATAAAAGGCACTGGCACCTTCTCTCGTGCCAACAGAGATGTCTGCAGCGTGGGCGGGCTGTTAGCACCTCTGGCAGCACTGCCGGACAGGCACCGAGCCCCGCACCAGCCCGGGCCCTCCTGCGCCAGGCCAGCACCTGCCTCTGCCCCACACCAAGGGCTCGGGGCCCTCCCCTGGGGAAACTGGGGGTGTTTGTGTGGAGCCAGGACCAAATTAAGGCAGGACGCACCGTGCAGGGAGCAGGGCCCTGTGGTGGGTATGGCTTCCTCCTGCCAGAGAGCTGCGAGGCTCCTGCAGCCTCCGGCAGGCGCAGCGCCCCTGCGGCCAAGGATTCCCGGCCACGGATTCCCAGCTCGCTGCTCCCAGGAGGTCCCCGGAGCAGCCGGCGGTGGGGCAGGATCCTTTCCACCAGGCCTTGGCTGGCAGAGGGACACTGAGCTAATCCCTGCTCAGTTTAAACATCCGAGTGACCCAGAAGGGTGTCACCTCCTGCCACCCGCTGGGACTGTGCCCCCAGGAAAGGGCCGAGAGGGGAGAGATTTGTACAGGTCACAACTTCTCAAGCAGACCGGACACACACTCGAACACACGCACACCACCCACACACACCACCGAGTGCAACAGAACGCAGTGTAAAACCAGTTTCACGCACACACAGTCCGTTTGTGCAAGGCTCACACGTTACAGTACGGCCGGGACGGGGCAGCGATGGCTGGGATATTGTACAGGAGTCAATGTAAACAATAAAGCGTCCTCGAGAGGCTTCGCCAGAGACCAAAGAACAGTTGCTTTGTACAAAAATGCCCTTAAAACAACACGTTTCTCCCAAACCCCCTCTACCCGCGAGGCTTGTCAGCTGCTGAGCACCCTGGAGGTGCTGCTGCTCCCTGTGGTGCTCAGCAGGTCACAAGAAGCTCTTGTGGGGTGGCTACAGGAACCAGGAGAGATTCATCACCTCCCACGAGCCACCAGCATGGAAAAGGGACAACTGTCCCCAGCAGAGACCTCTGATGCCAGGGCCTTGGTGGCTTCATTGCCCAGACACTGGAAAAGGAGGTCCACACCCCTCCAGTCTGTCCCCTTCCTGCCATCCTGCTCAGAGCCTCCAGACCTCCAAGGCCTTCATCACTCTGCAAGAGAACCACCTTTCCCGACTCCCTCTGCCTGCCCACAGCCTCCTCAGAGAAAAACCAGTTGTGCTGGGCCAGAGCCAAGGACAAGGGGACAGCAAAGCACCTCCCTGCAGGGGCCTCTGCCCCTCTGCTGCTCTCCCCAGCTGAAGCACCCGGAGAGCAGCTGAGTATTGGAAGGAAGCAGCATTTCTGGTCTGCATCGAAGACCCTTCCCAGAGGGCATTTCTCCTGAGATCAAGCTGAGCAAAGAAATCTGATCCTTTTCCTCCTCCT